AGAAGACCTCCAAGGTCCCTTCCAACTCTGTTATTCTGTTATTCTTTTCTTTAATTAGAGCAGTTAATTTAGCCATCTCTACTAATTTCATCAGTTTTTCCAGCCATGCATTTATTGCAAAAATTAGAGTGTCTTTCCATTTTTGTGCATAAAGCATTCTTGCTGCTGTTAATATACACAACAGCAAGGTTCCAGGGTTTTTTGTTTTTTTTTTGAAGTTAAGCTTTAAAAAATGGTCTATGGTTTAATTTTTATATTCATTTTAAATCCGATGAGATTGTTGTAACATAGTTGACTAGCAATAAACTACTGTTAGATTCTTCATGAGTGGTTCTGGTTGCTTTTGCCTAATGCCACTGTCAAACAGAGGCCTCTATCAGCACTTTCCCAATTTTAATGTCTTAACCTAAAACTTTCCTTTAAAATTCCCAGGTTTGCTTTTCTAGCTCCAGCTGTTGGTATTTATACACGTATCTTTTTATGATTTTTGGCTCATATATGATTATACAGCTTTTATAAGTGTATGAGTTTATGTCCTGTGCCTACATATGCTGGGGTTTCTTTTGTATCATTTCCTTTGGATATCTGGGCTTGTCTCTCTCATTTAGCAGTATAATGTTCTCTGATGTCCAATGTGTGAATATTAAAAGGATTCTATTTTCATAAATTAATGTTCATGGTTTATGCTAAAAATGAATAGGCAATATCCTGGTACTAGGGATTTTGCTATTAACATTGGATAGGTTCTACTTTACAGTACTGCTGTTTCCCAAAAATAAAGTCAGTTTCTTCATATCCAGATGTAGGAATCTTTGGAAATAGACTGAAAGCCTGTGCCCCCCCCAAACAATTCTTCAGCTGCTCCTCCTCCGAGTTTAATTTCATTTTAAAGTCTTCATTATTATGTCAATAATGTCCTAATATTATAGAACTTGCCCCAAATTTACTTGATTGATTCCATTCATATTCTTCTCCTTCAGAAGTTTAAGATGGCATACGTGCTCTTTCATGATATCCAGAATTTATGGCTGAAGAGGTTCCTCATTCCATTACTGGCTAAAAATTATCACTGAACTCTTTGTAATACAAGTTATCTTACAAACAAATAGTGTCTTTATTTGCACTTACAAATAGAGGCTGGCAGGAGAATGATTGGCTCTATACATTTGAGAAGTCTGTATTCAGAAACCTACCCACAATTAAATGGATCACAGTCACAAAATTAAAATGAAGGCTATCATAGCATTTCAGCATGTGTTCATGGTTATATACATTTTTCTTGGGTGAATAATAGTTTTTAATTCTCTACATTTTTAGAACTATTGTTATTCTAACTAGTTAAACTGGCACCTGAAGAATCACCAGTCCTACCAAAATATATTTCTTAAGAAAATTCTAATATAAATGAGTGCTGATGATAGGAAGTAATGAGCCCCTGTTGGTAATGCATTTAAAGATGTGAGACCACTATAGGAAAGATACTAATTCTGTAAATATATATATTTAAATTTATTTTATTAAGTGTACTTCTGTTCTAGGTTTTTGATATGTCAGGAGTAATAATATCTTGGTTTCTGAACTCAACAATAACTGTGTTTATTGAGATCAGAAAGTTGGTCTGAATGAACACTTATCCAGAGATTCCCTAATAAAAACCATTAGCAAGCATTTGTGAACAAAGCCTGTTGAGCACCTTCCCTCTGTGTTTCTGGAAAGCCTGGTAAAAGTGGGCTGTTCCTGCAAGCACTGGAGTAAGATGTTGCTGTTGTTGTTAGTTGCAAAGTTGCGTCCGACCCATCGCGATCCCATGGACAATGTTCCTCCATGTCTTCCTGTCCTCTACCATCTTCTGGAGTCCATTTAAGCTCACGCCTTCTGCTTCAGTGACTCCATCCAGCCACCTCATTCTCTGTCATCCCCTTCTTCTATTGCCCTAAATCTTTCCCAACATTAGGCTCTTCTTCAGTGAGTCCTTCCTTCTCATTAGGTGGCCAAAGTATTTGAGTTTCAACTTCAGGACCTGGCCTTCTAAAGAGCAGTCAGTGTTGATCTCCTCTAGGACTGACCAGTTTGATCGTCTTGCAGTCCAAGGGACTCGCAGGAGTCTTCTCCAGCACCATAGTTCAAAGGCCTCAATTATTTGGCGCTCAGCCTTTATTATGGTCCAACTTTCACAGCCATACATTGCAACTGGGAAAACCATGGCCTTGACTATACGCACTTTTGTTGGCAGGATGATGTCTCTGCTTTTTAGTATGCTGTCTAGATTTGCCATAGCTTTCCTCCCCAGGAGCAAGCGTCTTTTAATTTCTTGGCTGCAGTCCCCATCTGTGGTGATCTTGGAGCCCAGGAAGATAAAATCTGTCACTATCTCCATTTCGTCCCTATCTATTTGCCACAAATTGAGAGGGCCGGATGCCATGATCTTGGTTTTCTGAATGTTGAGTTTCAAGCCAACTTTTGCACTCTCCTTCTTCATCCGCATTAGGAAGCTCTTTAGTTCCTCTTCACTTTCTGCCATTAGAGTGGTATCATTTGCATATCTTAGGTTGTTGATATTTCTCACGGCAATCTTAATTCCAACTTTTGATTCATCTAGCCCTGCCTTTCTCATGATGTGCTCTGCATATAAGTTAAATAGGCAGGGTGACAGTATACAGCCTTGCCGGACTCTTTTCCCAATTTTGAACCAATCAGTGGTTCTGTGTCCAGTTCTCACTGTTGCTTCTTGACCCGCATATAGGTTTCTCAAGAGACAAATAAGATGGTCTGGTACTCCCATCTCTTTAAGAACTTGCCACAATTTGTTGTGATCCACACAATCAAAGGCTTTAGCATAGTCAATGAAGCAGAAATAGATGTTTTTCTGGAACTCCCTAACTTTCTCCATGATCCAGCGTATGTTGGCAATTTGATCTCTAGTTCCTCTGCCTCTTCGAAATCCTCCCTGTACTTCTGGTAGTTCTTAATCCATATACTGCTGGAGTCTAGCTTGTAGGATTTTAAGCATAACTTTACTTGCATGTGAAATGAGTGCAATGGTGCGATAGTTTGAACATTCTTTGGCATTGCCTTTCTTTGGAATTGGAATGTAAACTGACCTTTTCCAATCCTGTGGCCACTGTTGAGTTTTCCAAATTTGCTGGCAAATTGAGTGTAGCACTTTTACTGCATCGTATTTTAAGATTTTGAATAGCTCAGCTGGAATACTGTCACCTCCACTAGCTTTGTTGTTGCTCAGATTTCCTAAGGCCCATTTCACTTCACATTCTACGTTGTCTGGCTCGAGGTCAGTGACCACCCCATCGTGGTTATCAGGGATGTTAAGTTCATTCTTATACAGTTCTTCTGTGTAGTTTTACCACCTCTTCTTAATCTCTTCTGCCTCTGTTAGGTCCCTGCCATTTTGGTCCTTTATCATGCCCATCTTTGCATGAAATGTTCCCTTCATATCTCCAATTTTCTTGAAGAGATCTCTGGTTCTCCCTATTCTATTGTTTTCTTCTATTTCTTTGCACGGTTCATTTAAGAAGGCATTTTTACCTCTTCTAGCTATTCTCTGGAATTCTGCAATCAATTGGGTGTATCTTTCTCTTTCTCCCTTGCCTTTCGTTTCCCTTCTTTCCTCAGCTATTTGCAAAGCTTCCTCAGGCAGCCATTTTGCTTTCTTGCATTTCTTTTTCTTTGGGATGGTTTTAGTTGCTACCTCTTGTACAATGTTGCAAACCTCCATCCATGGTTCTTCAGGCATTCTGTCTATCAGATCTAATTCCTTAAATCTATTTGTCACCTGTACTGTATATTCATCAGGAATATGATTTAGTTCATACCTGAGTGGCCTAGTGTTTTTCCCTACTTTCTTCAATTTAAGCCTAAATTTTGCAACGAGAAGCTCATGATCTGAGCCACAGTCAGTTCCTAGTCTTGTTTTTACTAACTGTATAGAGCTTCTCCATCTTTGGCTGCAGAGCACATAGTCAATCTGATTTCTGTGTTGACCGTCTGGTGATGTCCATGTGTAGAGCCATCTCTTTGTTGGAAAAGAGTGCTTGCTATGACCATCGTATTCTCTTGACAAAATTCTATCAGCCTGTGCCCTGCTTCATTTTGTACTGCAAGGCCAAACTTGCCTGTTATTCTGGTTATCTTTTGGGTTCCTACTTTAGCATTCCAATCCCCCATAATGATAAGAATGTCATTTTTTGGTATTAATTCTAAAAGGTGCTGTAGGGCTTCATAGAACCGGTCAATTTCATCCTCTTCAGCACCAGTGGTTGGGGCATAGACTTGGACTACTGTGATATTGAATGGTTTGCCTTGGATTCAAACTGAGATCATCCTGTCATTTTGGGGATTGTATCCCAGTATTGCTTTTCCTACTTTTTTATTGACTATGAAGGCTACTCCATTTCTTCTGAGGGATTCTTACCTGCAGTAGTATACCTGGTGGTCATCTGAGTTAAATTCACCCATTCCTGTCCATTTTAGTTCGCTGATTCCTAAGATGTCGATGTTCAGTCTTGTCATCTCTTGTTTGACCACGTCTAGGTTGCCTTGATTCATGGATCTTACATTCCAGGTTCCTATGGAGAAAAGATCTTTACACCATTGGACTTTCCTTTCACCACTAGATGCATCCACAGCTGAGCATCCTTTTGGCTTTAGCCCAGTCACTTCACTCTTTCTGGCGCTACTAGTACTAGCCCTCTGCTCTTCCCCAGTAGCATATTGGACACCTTCCGACCTGAGGGGCTCATCTTCCAGCATCATATCTTTTTGCCTTTTGGTACTGTCCACAGGGTTTTCATGGCAAAGATACTGGAGTGGGTTGCCATTTCCTTCTCCAGTGATCACATTTTGTCAAAACTCTCTGCTATGACCTGTCCATCTTGGGTGGCCCTGCACGGCATAGCTCATAGCTTCATTGAGTTATGCACGCCCCTTCACCACGACAAGGCAGTAATCCATGAAGGAGGGAGTAAGGTGATGCTGAATCAAATATGGATGTATGGAGGAATATTTGCTATTGAGGCACCAGAGACTTTGCTACGGCTTTATAGTTTTTATTATTTTTACTAGCTGTACCCGGCCACGCATTGCTGTGGCTCAGTCTGGTTAAATGGAAAAGAAAGAATTGAATTGCATGTACAATGGCAATTTCAAAGCGTCCAACAGATGGCGCTGGTTTTCAAAAAAAGCATGTTTTTACCTGTCACAGGTGTGACATCTATGTAATATAGGTATATAGAAACACGCGCGTATTCGAATGCAATGTTGTTTCAAAATTTCAAAGCAATCGGTGAAGAACCTTCGGAGATTTAAGATTTTGAACAAACTAATATTTACATTTTTATTTATATAGATTGTTGCTTTGCAAGTTGCCCAGGTTAATGGCATATTAGATTGGTAGTTGTGTAAGTCTTTTTATTATATAAAAAAGCAAAGGAACAAATAAAGCTAGTTTATGGTGAAAGATAGCAACAAAAGATAAAGCAAAACTAAAGATGTAGGCAAAAAATATCAGTAAATAATCCATTGCAGGGGCTATAATCAAAATTACAATGTCCCATTCATTTTAGTGCGTATAATCTTTAAATATGGCTATGCTTTAGAAATAACTTCGCAGTTAGCACAGACTATATAATGAGCCAATCTACTAAATTATGTAGCATTATGCATCAAAAAAATAAGAAAAGAGAGGGTTATTACTTGTCTGGATGTAATGCAAGCATCTATTATGTGATCTATACCAAAAAAAGAAAAGAAAGAACCACTGCGATATCTAGCAAAGACCTTATTTGTTTTTACTAAAAATAGTAAAATAGATCCCATAGCCATGAATATGTTATTTAGCCTATATAATAATGTTCAGTTACTATTACATAAAATGATCTTGTTTATTTTTACAAGTCTTCAGATTCATATACTGAGTTGTCTTCAGAATTCCATCATAATGAAACTAAAAATACTCAAAAAGAGAAGAGAGAACTCTTCTTATCGACCAAATTATCATGGACAAAATTAGATGATGATTTTCCAACTCCACAAATAGCAGTAGACCACACTTCTTCTGCTCTGCAACTTGGTAAGGAATTCTCGAAATATTAAAGTAGCTTGACATAAGAACTTGCTCAGTATAGCTTTTTCTTGTCCCTCTTGAATAAGATCAGAAGTACTGTGCCATGTAGCAAAACTACTGCTTTGTTTCTCATCAGTATTTCCCCTTGTATTGGATTGTCTTTGGGGAAAATTGATACCTTCACACTACAGAGGTGCCATTTTGGAATGTCCTTTTTTGTGGGAGGCTGCCTTGGAGTGAGTCTTGGCTTCTGTCTGGATAAATCGCTGCCATTTTCATGGCAAGATTTGCCATTGCCTGCTTCCTGGGACACCAAGCTGGCTTTGTACCTAAGACATACAGTATTGTCTACACATGAATAAATAAAACTTAAGATTGTTATTTTAAATGGACAGCATTGGCAGAAACAGGGAGACCCCATTGAAGTTCTGCACAGTCCTAAATGTCTTTTGATAATTTCACAAAATCATTCTCTTTCAGTCTAATCTACCATGCAAGACTATTAGAGGATGAAATTATATAAAGCTAATTTTTCCACACTTTTCATATGACTAAATATAGAAGGGAGAGAAAAGATTTAGAATGTGCTAGTCATCACACTGTTTACATATATTATCTATTTCAATAAGGAAGAAGAAGAATGCTTTCATTTGGATCAAAGGTTCCAGGATGTATTCTAGATATTATCTAAAAGTCACTGAAATAAGATATAAAGATGGATAATTTGATGTAATATTTTGATATTAATATCAGTGTTTTGACCTTGATATCTCATTTCACAGGGTTGTTGTGGGGAAATTAGGAGGAGGAAGGTGTGTTGCATACATTTGCCATTTAACTTATTTGCAAAAATGTGGGATGCAAATGAATAAATAAAACTAAATTAAATATTTTTATAGTATTTGTAGTATATACTACTTATGATATATGTATTAGGAATCATAGTTGTTACTTGGTTCATAGATACATGGACTGAAATCCCAGTTGTCTTTTGAAGAACAGAAAAAGACAATGTGAAGATTTACTATTACATAGTAACATGTTAATTTAATGTTAAATTTCTTATGCACCATTACAACTCTGCATTTGTCTAGATAGTTATTGAAGTAGAGGTTAAGTGAGATATATTATCTGTCTCACAATCTACATTATTTTGTTATGATTTCATTATAATAATAAAAGAGAAGTGAAAAAAAATCACATGTTTAGCTTTGAACTCCTTGAAAGAAGTTTAGGACAGACAAATAAATAATATGATACTTTGTCAAATTTAGTGGGCCACAAGGAGGAAAATCTCTACAACAGGATGGATTCTGGCTTCTAGTATGTATGAGCAATTCTCCATTGGATAAGTATTTTTTTAACAAAGTTTTATCTACAAGAATATATGTATGAATACTGTGCCTCAATTACTAGAATATTTAATATGCATCCTTAGCAAGAATTTTGCTGTAATTAATATGCAAAATCAATCAGTTAGTACAGAGGTTTACATTTTGTGGGTTCTGATCCCCAGTAGAATCATAAGTAAATTTGAATGAATCACATTCATTCTTACTCTGCCTGAAATTTCTGCTGCTGGATCCAGGTTCTAGGCTCTTCTTCAATGGCTTTGCAGTTGCAGCAACTTTCCTGAGTCAAAGCTGCCAAAGTGACCATCAGTATCAAGACTGATTTGACTTAGCCTCATTTTCCCTCTTTTCTGTGAATGATTTTCCCTGAGCTTCTTCCTAGTATGGGATGTCACACTGAGTGCCAGCTTCAGTGTTGTCCCTCTCAATAGGAGGCTACTTCATTCTGAATACATCTGATGGTTCACTGCCAGAATCCACTCATCCAAAAGGAAGAACCTCCTTTGGAAGTGGAGGAAGGTGAGTCTTGAGGTTAAATTTGACAATTCTGTCCTATTATGGAAGTTCTCCTGCGTGTTCTAAATCATTCTTTCAAAATATTTATAGAGCCTAACTAATTAAGGTTTGTGAAAAGTGGGGAAGGGATGAAGCATATGGAAGTGAAAGACTAGTAAAGAACAAAACCAGTGTCAAGTATCAACATTTTGAAGTCTTTTCTATTTTCAATAACTCAGAACATTTATTTTTAATTAAACTTTTATTAATGTGCTTCCTGGATAGTAAAAATATTTCAAAATATTATCTAGGTACAGGAATAGTAAAATAAGATAAGATAAAAGTATATCATATTAGTGTGTACACATCTAAACTATCTTTTCCATTTGAGACGTTTCTTGGTTTGAAGGAGTCTTGGTTAAATTTGATTTGTAACTAAATTTATGGGTGTTCTGGTTATTCACGTTTTTCTCTGGAAAAATATCAAATCTTTTTCTACCCCTTACTTCAACAGCTTAGCAGCAAACAAAACATTACAAGAAAGCCAAGATAAAACAGAAGGTAATTGTATAATTGAATTGTATTATTGGGAATAAGCTGGTATAAGAAGGATGCATAGAGTAGATCAATGGGGAAAACAATCCTTATATCATTTATTTAATAATAACAATCATTTATTAATATATATATATATATATATATATATATATATATATATATATATATATATATATATATATATATATATATATATATATATTTAAAAATACTGTAGATCAGAAATAAGTTCAGACAAAGTTGTAAGTTGATTGTCTGACAAGATTTATTTCTGATTTTTTATTATTATTATTATTATTATTATTATTATTATTATTGTTGTTGTTGTTGTTGTTGTTGTTCTTTCTTTAAAATGTCTTCATTGTTCATTTCTCCTCAGAAAATCTGGTATTTGATTCTTGAAATTTGGTATTAATTTAAAACATAGTTTTATACTTCAAACGATAACCTTTAGATGGCTATGATTGCTATGAAAATATATTAAGTAACTGAAAATTGCTAGTTGGACTTCCTTGTAATAAGTTACTCTTGCCTAATAATATTCCATAATAAGATGAAATATTTGATTCTTGTTTGTAAAGTCAACTTCTTCATATCAAGGAGAGCACACTGAAACCATTTGGCCTACTAGGAGTTCATATTTTTTTTTGCATTACATAGTTCACAGTTCTCATCTGTGTTTCTCAGAAATTTATGTAGTGAGGTTTCCCCTTCCAACAAGTTATTTCCTGAGCAGAAAATAGATGTATATTTTGTTGTACATTACTTACTTTAGAGAAAGGATATACATCTGAGTTCCATCTAACCCAGTTGCATTTTGGAGTTTTTGTCCTGGTCATTTTGAAGCAGGTAGAAGAAAAGTTGGAACACAATCTCTCAAATCAGTTTAACGTTGCTTCAGTAACAAACAGGCCTCAAAACAAGCGAAGGAGAAATTATGTCAGAAAATTTGAAGAAGAGACTTCTCTTTATTCTTTCCTTTAGCCATGACTAACACTTCAGTAGTATGTATAGGGTCCTGTGGGAGGAATTCTCTCCTGGCCACTTCCTTTGGAAGTGGAAATGGAAGCATCAGAAGCTTTGTAAGATTATTCTACAATGAAAGATAGAACATTCTATATACTAATAACAGCAGAAGGAGGGAAATGATGAAACATGATTCACAATGCTGTGATGAAAATTAGCCCCTTACATACTTGTGTATGATATTGCAATAAAATAACAAAAGGGTGGAACTTGCATCATGACATTTTATGCATATTATATTAGTTTTGCAACCTTGTGTAGAAGTCTTTGTGGCCACCTTATAGCTAAAAAAATGTACAGAAAACATTCTATCAATAGAATTTCAAAAGCAATTTCACGTTTACCAAATTGAACGAAAGCTAGTGGAAAAATTGTGGAGTATATTTACTATCCAAAGTATAACCCTGGCAGCAAGGTCACATTTCTGAGATGCTTACTTTTCCACCATTAGGGAATGTCAGTCAGGATAAGCCCAGTCATTTTTCTTCCCAAGATTAAGTATAGCCAGCTGTCGCCTGAAGTAGCACCAATTCAACACTGACAAAAGGTCAGATTTCTCCATGAGGATGTTGGATGAAGTAGACTGGTTTAGGATATAATAAAAGCTGGGTGGCAGCTCTTATTATACCCTTTTTGAAGAAATAACCAGAAAAGTGGCCTCTGCGGAAAGGGTATAGATCTGCTTTTATTTTCCCAACATCTGTCACATAAACTGATCATCACCTTTCCTGCTCTAAAAATAATCAGATAAATTGATTTTTTTTTCCAACCCAAAAAGATTACCACAGGAAAATGAATTTCCAAGTTCTCTGATTGTTTCAATCTTTGAATAAATTGTTTTTACTACAATTGTGTCTCCTTTCCCAAAGTATAATTCCATAATATTCCAACTTTATTTAAAATTGTCTGGATTATCTATACTTTTGAATGGTGGATAGAATAAAAAGAAATAAAAAAATGAAATACATTTTTTGCAGCTCTTTCAACTCCTTTGAGCATGGTACAAATGACTGTGCAAAACTACATGCGGTAGGTTTACACATTGTGTTAAAATATCTAATAGGAAATATACACTTGTATTTCAAAATTTCAAAAAGGAAATGTAGTTAATTATGTAGGGAAGCTCATGATGCCTTAATGGGGGAACGGCAGGAAAAATAACACAGTGACAAAAATTAAAAATTCTTAGTATTAAGCTTTATGTGCCATGCATATAATTAGCCAGAGTTGTATGTGAGTGTAAATCTAAAGTTTTCTTGCTAAAATATGGATTAATATTTGATGTTAATACAAGCAAGTACTACGAGAAGGTTAAGTGATTAATGCCCTCCTTGATGCATATCCATAAGTTCATTAACATAATATAGATTAGTCTAAGAACAGTATAGCTCTCTGATAACATTTATCTGCACTTAAGAAGCTACTGCACAATAATTGCATGGAGAAATAATCACATATTCCTGATTATACACGGCTGGTGGCCATTTCCACAACTTTTACTCTGCTCTCCCTAGCTGATGAAATCATGGCAGAAATATTCATACATGAGTGAGTGTCTGTGCACTTACGCTACCATACTGTGTGCTCACACATAAATGTTCCCACTGCAGGACATGTGGCATAAAGAATAATCATTTATGTGCCCTTTCCAAAATCACTGTAAACTTGCATGTTTGCACATGATGTGGGTGTCCTCATGTTTAATCTTGTCTATTTTTAATTTTGATGGGATTGTGTGTTCAGAAATGTGGCATGTTGATGCAACAAATATTTTTTCCAGACACTGTTTGTTTAAGAATAACAGTAGTGACAGTTGCCAGGTTATTATTTTTTCTTCACTGCATTTTCTTCACTTGCTCATTCAGTAGTAGGAGTCAGAGCTGGATACTTCTTTTGGGCAGATGTTGTCCAGATGACTTTTGTTTAATGCACTCTTCATTTAATCAGCACAGATCTGCTCTTTGCTTATAGCAGACACTTCCTGGAGCTCTGATGGGTGTTGTGTTGCTGATTCTTTCTGGGTAATAACCTCTACAAACAAATAAATAGAGTAACTGTACATGTGGGACTTTCTTTCATCCCAACTTCCAGACTTAAGAACAAGTTAGGTGGCTGAGGCTCCTCTGTGAGTTTAAATGTAAAAAAAACACCTACGGTTTTGTAACTTCATAGGACAACTCTTTTATAATAATATAATAATAATAATAGTATAGTTATTTCCAGACAATACAACAAATGATTCTAGTGTTACTCATGGCTTTTTTTCTCATAGAACGCCCAGAACGGAGTTCTGGCACCTTTTTGGGATGGAATCTTGTAGGGTAGGCAAGGCGGGTTGTATGACGTGTGTGAGTTCTGGCACCTTTTTTTAAAAAAAACAAAAAAAGCACTGGTGTTACTTATATGTGTTCTACCCAGGGCCTTGTGACAAGCAACCATAACTATCTAAATGGTAGGTGGTTCAAAAAAAATCTTCTCCCCATAGGATCCCAAATATATGCCATCTGTCAGAAGCAAAGAAGCTCTGCCACCTTTATAATTAGCATTTACTGGTACCTAACACCTACATTCTAACACCTACTGTAACATACTGTTCCTGAGAATAAATGTGCTTGCATGGTGCTGTTACATGCTTTGCTACTGAACAGCTCTTTCAAAGAATCATTTCTTACTAAAATAAAGATGCAACTGTTTACTCCAGAAAGAAATTATGTCATCTCAAAGGACTTCAAGTGTAAACAAATTTCATGCTGCTTTCTCCTATTCTAGTTCCCTGCATTACTTTTCACAAATGCCCATTCTCTCAAGATGGAATAATGCCAGCTCACCTCATTCGCTCCTCAATCCAAAAAGGTCAGTGCTGGCCTAATTTTAATGTTTAGAGCTTTTACATTGTCATGCAGCCAGCTCTAGATAAATGAAAGGCTCAAGCACATGGGTACCAGGGAAGGCAAAATCACATATGTGCATATTGACAATTTGGTTTTCCTTTAGCAGATGTTCTCTTAGGTATCCCTGTGGTCTTTTTATGGTGACAAATGCATCAGATTGTGTACAAGTTATGATTAGAAATATTCAAAATAATTTTTCTCTTTTTGCCATCCCTTCCCCTTGCATGTCTTGTTGTCTAATGGAATGGAGGGATGAAATGGAACAGATTTTTATTTTGTGATTCTCTCACAGTGCTAATTGGAACAAATTAAAACACAGTTAGGAAATATAGTTTTCCCACTGCTACTGATTTTCATGTTGAAACCACATTTCCCCAGATAGCCCAGTGACTTTTTTTTTGTTATGGAAGACAGTTGCAAGTTTAAAACAGATCTTTTCACCATTACATAATCAGAGTCTGTAAGTGAGGAAAACTAAAAGTTCATTTCCCTATAGCTCATCTGCGCTTTTCTGAAAAAGTACAGATTTTTTTAGTGTCAATCAGAGTTGTATTATCTAAATTCTCAGAAGGCCATTGTGTACTTTACTTAGCTGTAAAATAAGTGATATGTACTTAAAAATGAACAATTTATCTACCTATATATCTGTCTGTCTGGCTATCATCATCATCATCTATCTATCCTTTGAAAATTATATTTGGACAAGTGCTTTGAATTTTGCCTAAAAGCAAGAACGGAACCTTTTTCCTGTTCACTAAAGCAGCTCTATACTTTTCTAGGCTTTCACTGAAATCAGCTCCTTAAAACATTGACATCTATCTATCTATCTATCTATCTATCTATCTATCTATCTATCTATCTATCTATCTATCTATCTATCTATCTATCTATCTATCTATCTATCTATCTATCTATCTATCTATCTATCTATCTATCTATCTATCTATCTCAGAAGCCCAAAAAAGGATGTAGCTAGTTTATTAAGTAGCAGACAGATTATTTGTGACCCATATGTGTAAGTTGTCTTCATATGTGTATGCATGTGTGACTATAGACATAGTATTTACAGAGAAGATCAGTCAAGCAAAATAATTTCTATCGATATTTTCCTTATAGTGTCATTGAATGGCTGGATTTCTCAGAAAAGGACCCTGTTGAGGTTTTGCTTGCTCTGGGATTTGGTGTTGAGGAACCTAATATCTGCACTAAGATTCCTTCCCGCTTCATCAGTTGTCCATCCATTGCTGAAGGAATCAATATTAAAGTATTCATAGAAGCTCAACGACAACGCATGAAAGTTGAAGCTCCCAGTTTACATGGTGAGTGAATAATTGATGGGCTGATTCCAGGTTTGAATTTATTATGGAATTGCCTCATTGCCACATTGACAAATATTTGAGATGGTGAATCCACATTATTCTCCATATTAACTGTTACTAATCCACTGAAGAAAAATCAGTTTTGTTGAAATTTGAAAAGCAGCACAAACTCCACTGATGCAGATGTCATTAATGCTGTCTTTTATAAAACTTAATCAGTTGTCCTTTGATCATCTAGCTCCTTGTTCCAACTTCTGTACTACATGAAGAAGATGCACGTACAAGTTTATTCTGACTGAATAAAATTCCAGGATATTAATGTCATATGCTATTAAATTAGTATTCTATTGTGCACTAAAATACAACCAATACATGAATAAATTCCAGTGCAAAATAAAATAGTAAAAAGCTGGAAAGCATCAGAAGGATTCTTTATTACATATTAGTTATTTATACTGCTTCATAAATAAGATCAGCTACTTTGGAGTGTCAATATCTGGATAGAAATTTGGGATGGAGTATTTTTAATAAGGGCCCTTGGAATATATCCCTGGAATATATGCTTCTTTATAAAGCAAGATTAAGGAGCCATGGTGGTAAAATGGTTAGAATGCTCAAGGTTGACTCAGCCTTCCATCCTTCCAAGATCAGTAAAATGAGGACCCAGATTGTTGGGGGCAATATGCTGACTCTGTAAATTGCTTAGAGAGGGCTGTAAAGCACTGTAAAGTGGTCTATAAGTCTAAGTGCTAAGGAATGTATTTGGCAGCTTTTGATAAAGAATAGAAATCAAGAATTTCACCAATTTCTGTTACATCCTCCCCAGAATCTTTCTCAAAAGAAACACCAATAAAATCATAATCATTCCACAGAATATTAAATTTGTAAGTCTGAATGAGCTTTTAAAAAAATAAATGAAACTGATGTGTATGTCAGTCCATGAGGATTGATCTCTTTATTTGTGTGTAAACTTATTTCACAGAAACTAAGAATATTGACTTATATTCTGTGATTTCCAAGGATTATTACAATAAAATATTCATTGAAATTTTGTTAATAAATATTTTAAAAGATACTTGGATCATAGACACTTATACTGACATAAATCCACTAAACTAAATTACAGCATGTACATATGGAAGTGATACCAAATTAAAGATATTTTCCATTTCATTTGCATAATATTGAAAAATGTCTGATTCTATTTCTCTGAGCAAGCTTGAGGGCATAGAATATTAATATTTTTTCCAATCACTCATTAAAAAAATATCTATCCCAAAGGTCCCAATCTTCCTAGCCATGCTTGGTCCCTTATATTCCAATCAGGGATCAGGATATATTTTAAACACTCATGTTATCTCCCCCCCCCTCCAGAATCTTCTTTAGTGTTAAATGCCTTGAAAGTTTTGCCCTAATTAAACTAAATAAGGTTTGTTTAATCTTTCTCAATTTTAAGGGCGCTTTCGACAACTGGAAATATTGGATCACGTGGCTAGTGCTTTTTCCTCTCTGCTGAGTCACATGAGTACCAGGCAGTAGAAAATAGAAGAAGGAAAAAGAGAAGAGAAGGCCAGAATTAATATTCCAAAAGGCAAGCCACAGGCCAAGAAGAGAAGAATAGGTCAGGTCTTAAGAAAAATATCAAGGCAAACACATGAATCTCAAGCCTATCAAAATGCTGGTATATGTAAAACCCAAGAAGACCACTTTGCTGATGATGATCTACATTTGGTGACTAGGACAGGATTATCTGACAGTGCTGCCTTAATCTCTCTAAAAGAACTGTTGCCAAGTGAGGAAGAGGGTATGATTATACCCCAATCTGCACAATTCATAGCCACTAAAACTTGGGGATTGCCTCAGCTATTGTTAAAAGACCCCCAATTTCCTTCCAAGTCTGACATTCTCAGTAAAGAAAGTAAAGAAAGATCGCGCAAGGAGCACAATTTGCTTTTAACTCATACTCTCAGGAGATTATCTGGCATCAGCTGCAAGCCTTCAGATTCCTTTGAAATGGAAGAGGTAAGGCCAAATGCTATATGTTGGCATTCTGTAGATAGAAAAATAGTGATACTTGTGTTAAAGAATGGAAGCTAAAGCAAATAGCCCATTCCAAATAAGTATGATTATATCACAGTTTTGCTTCTTTATTATTATTATTATTTATTGAATTTATATACCGCCCTATCTCCCTTACGGGACTCAGGGCGGTGTTACTCCACAGAAGGGAAGTATAAAAGGTGGTTTGTAACACTTTATTCCAAATCTATCATATTCTCTGCAAACTAAGCTATTATGGCTCATTTCTTTTTTAGAGATGCTTAAAGTATAGAACAGATTAGAGGATGGATCTAGTTTGTACACCAATGGAAGATCTAAGAGTCATTGGGGATAGATGTGATGCTCAGTGACACTGTTTGAACAGTGTGTCATGACCTGAACACTGAATTGTTTTTTATCAATTCAAAGGCATCTTCAAGAGCACATGGTAAAAAGAAAAAATCAAGTGAATGATTGTGACTCTACAAAGCCCCACACCTTTTAAAAATGTATCACATGTGATACATGTTAAAAAAAAAGTGAAGTCATATATTTATGACTACCGTCTTGACCATTTTACCCCTCCCCCTTTCAGACATTGCCAGAGAATGTCTGATTAATGCAGAAATACCAGGTATTAAAAACTGCGTTCTTCACTTCACTATTTTAGCTGCTGAAAGTTTGTCTTCTACTCGACTACATAATTCAATGCTATGATCACCAGAATGGCTGCAATGAAAGCCCATGATGGGCTCAAAAAGTTGCCTTTTTATTTTCTTTCTAGGTCTCCAGAAACTAGGTGAACAAAAAGATGAATCTGGTTGACCAAAAAGATGTGTTGATCAAAAACTGGAGAATCAATATTTATTTCAAGCTGCAATAAAAATCCAGGAGCTGGGGATAGGGAAACTAGGTTTTCTAACACTATGACACTTGGATCTGTTTGCTGAATGCTAAAATTTGGATTATACTCTGAAAGTGACATTTTAAAATTTATTAATCATACACAGTATGAATCAAGAAAAACCTGTAGCATATCTTCACAGCACCAAACAGTGTGAACCAGAACATCCTCCCTCTGCAATCACTTTTTTTTTTTGCAATGATATTCATCATTCCCATTTTCAGCACTGTTTTATTTGTTACAATTGTTTTTGAGAGAAGAAGTCTTCCTTGTTTAAACTGGTTTTTTTAAAAATATTTTTGCCAATGTAAGAGATTCCTAAACATGCTTTTACTTCTTGCTTCTCAACAGCCCACCTGGCTCCATTTCTGTCAGTGCATGGGGAATTATTTCCATTTGGCATCGTTGTACTTTGACCAGCAATAGGGAGTTGGATTTGGAAAGGAAACAGGCTATGAATACTAACTTCCAACCTAAAACCTGGAATACAAAATTATTTTTTAAAAATGAGGCACCAACAATAGAAACATCTGGAAGGTTTATTGTTGCTTTGACTTAAAATCCTAACGTTAAAGAGAAGAAATATACTTTTAATAATAAAAAAAACCCAAGCTGCTTTCTTTTTTCTTGTCTCAGATCCAGAGCTTTGAAGATGAAACTTTCTGGGGAAATCCCCTTGAAAACACTTCAGGTAGGTATTAGCAAATATAAACTCAGTCTGTCTTTCTTCCCCTTCTAGTCGGCTAAATATCTATTGCACCCATATATCAGTATACCACCATAACAGTATTATGGAAGGCTTTATTCTTGCTAGATATTAGTTGGAATGAGCAAGGACTTGAATCAAAGTTCCGATGAGGATCTGGAGAGAATCTGAAGAAATCCCATCCAGGTGTTACAAGATTCAAACCATGCAAGAGCCACATTTCTTTTTTTTAAATATCATTTTCTTTGCCTTGGAGACATAAGAACTTTGGCTGAGCCCCCCCCCTTCTCCTCCTCTTCCTCTTCCTTCTCCTCCTCCTCTGCTTATTACTTTTAGTAAGCTGCAGTTTTTCATATTTATTTGTTTAGAATACTGTATTTGAGTAAACTTTACTTCATGGACAATGGCAGAAGCTTCAGGTTTCATGGTTGGGTCTGCACAGGTATTTATCATATCAATGTTACAATCAACATCATTAACCTCTGCAATATGCCAACAGAGTTATTTGTTTGTTATGCATCCATTGAGATCTGCTCTTACCATGTGGTCCATTAGTTTCAGGTGAATCCAAAGATAGTGTGGAATCTAAAATGAAATTGGGGCCTTTCAGTCTTTCCTAGAAGTTATATCTAGAAGTTGGTGCATTCTATATATATTCAACAACTTCTAGAAAACATGTTTGAACATCTAAAAATATTTGCTAAATACAAGCATGAATGAAATACATTGTCTTGGTTTCAAAATGACTGCATGATATATTCTCACATAAGAAAATACGTACCTTTCCTCTGTTGGGCATAGCAATAAACTGCATACAATAGTAAAGCATGGATTGATTAACTATGTTGTGAAAGATTTGGGAGATAACATATTATTTGCCCTAAAATGGTGGCTGCATCATTCCTTTGTAGATGGTACAAACTGACATTCATTTATCAAATGTAATATTAATTATTCTAAAGTAACTGACTATGATCAAATTGTGACCAGGTGCAATCAGGTGTTATGCTTTAGCAAAAATAATGATTGTTTGACTATGACTTTGTGAATTCTTATTCTAGATCAGGCATGTCAAACTGCCGGTCCACAGGCCAGATGCATCATGCTGAAACTGTGCCTACCCCATTGCCGGCAATGAGGAAAAAGTCACGTGATGTCACGAGTTTGACATGCCTGTTCTAGATTGACTCAGCAGGTAAGCACATGGGATTTGTGCTTTTCTTTGTATTATTACTGTAGGTATTCTAGTCATCCGCCATGTACTATGTATATAGATAGCAAGTCAGCAGCCTTGTTCAAATCTCTCCCGTGGGAGTGGGAGGGCAGAGGCTAGAGAAACATGTGCAGGATTATTCTGAACAATATTCAAGACATTTATTGTATAAAGTTGAGTTAGATTCCTGGGGTTCAGGCCTTATGGAGTTGACCTGATTCAATGGGAAGAATTCTAACCTATCAGACTTGATGAAGTAGATAGGATTCTTGGGGTGCAAGTGGGGATACCTATATATTAGATCCATGTCTCTCCTAGATTGTCAAGACTTTCAATGTATAGTTGCAGTCAAGATAGTGGTACTTGCTCTCCACCATTTTCTTTTGAAGAACTATCACTGGGTTCACTGGACAATTAGAGCAGGCTGTTGAAAAAGTGGTTTATTTGCAACTTTAGAGAAATTGATTATCTGAAAATATTATCTCTTTTCAGGCAGGTTTCACACCAGGTTACTATATTGAGATACCATGAATAATTTTGTTGATGATTCCTAGTAGGATCAAGATGTGGGGGCTATATCCATCCTGACTCTCCTGGTATCTTTTTTATATCAGAGCATGGGCCATGATGTTTTGATGGTTCTCTCCTTCCTCTGGAAATATTTCCAGCCAGTTCTAATAAGAAAGGAGATGTCTAGCCCTAGATACTTGGTCTGCAGGATTTCTTATATTCTACAACAAAGCTCCCCAACCTTTCCAGCTTGGCAGCCCGAAAGGATAGGGAGCAGCAGGGAAATATGTGAGTGTGCACTATGGTGGCACTAGCATGTGTGTGCATGCACAAGCAGGCCACACACACCTACAGCATGTGCACTGGCGCCTACGTGCTGGCGCAAACGGGCCACTGTTGCCTGTATGATGCTGACTGTGATGCTTAGAGTCCCCGTGCATGCACAAATGGGGCCACTAGCCCCCGCATGGTGGTGTTACCACGAATGGGGAGAGGGTTCACCAGCTATTTCCAGGGCCCAGTGGCCAATAGGCTATGGCTGGATACTGGGCTGTGGACCATAGGTTGGGGACCCCTGTTCTTCAACCTCTCAGTTCCTACATAACATCTATATGAAATCTATGGATGATTCATATATTGGTATGAGGTCAAGAATCCTAGTATGCTGCTAATGGTGTTATATATCTCTAGGCTGGATTATGAAGTGATTCCATCAAGATTAGACAGCAGTATTTGGTTTATTGTCTCATCCAGGGCTTTGCATCCAGGCAAGTCCTCACAACTGCAGTTGGCTTTTCCTACTGAAGTGGATTATCTACTCACGATATTTCATGCTTTCAAACTGCTGGATGGGCAGGAGCTAGAGACAAGTGATGGGAACTCACTCCATCTGTTGGAGTGTCAGCCATTTCTGATCCACAGATCCAGCACCATTAAGCTGTTGCACCAGTGTGCCTCCTTTATTTCTGCTTATTCTATCAGATCCATTGTAGAATACATATTGGTATGTCCTGGTCCACTCGATGAAACACTGTTTTTTGATGGGGGCATACCTACTCTGTAGCCTCCTGCTCTCTGGAAAAGCATACTTTGAGATACAGTGAAATTGAGTCAGGATGTTAGCTGAGCCTCTTCTATAATAAATTATATAACAGATTCTAAAATAGATTAGGGAAATGATTGACCAGAGACATGTTTTTGATCTTTTTGCTTTGATTTTTAATTTGTTTTAATATAATTATCAAGTTTGTTGACCATATAATTTGATTAAAAGATAAGGTAACATGAATATTGGATGGATGGATCAAATTTTAATTGCATGAATTTCTGGACCTTTGAGATGGCGGGAAGTAATTTAACAGACAATTTTTTCCCTGTAAAGGGGATCCTGTTATTATAATGAGACAGCTGGGAACTGCAGAGATCTCCTTCCCTGGAATGGCACTGCAGATAAATAATAGACCAAAAAGGCCAAAAAAAAATCCAAGAACATCTGAGCCTGTCCTAAAAAGACCAGTTGTTTGGAACATAAGCTAAACTTGAATCAACAATTATATTCTTTGAAAAGTGTTTTGATGGTATTCCTGGATTCTATGGCCAGATCTTTATTTTTACCCACATTCTGCCTATGTGTTCACTAGATGTACACACACACATACACACACACACACATACACACACACACACACATATTCCTAAATGAATGCCAGCCTGTTTTTGAGTAATAGTTTGAATATATGTGTTTTAAAAGGAAATATTACAATTTTTATTAGGCAATTCTATCATTGTTATAAATAAGTAATTGTACTGGGGAGAAGGGATAATCCTTATTTAATTAAATTCATCTATACTCCCAGGTTGGCAGCAAGCAGACATATGTGAGACTAATACCCCCAGCCTGCCTTGTATGCATGTGCAATTAAAAATTCACTCTACAGTAGCACTGGCAGTTTAGTCTTGCTTTTGGCATTTGCAAATTCTTTTATTTTGTGGCTTTTTTTCCCACCATACACATATGCTGGAGCAGATGTTGCTTATTTGTTGTTTATTCAAATCTGTAAGCTCTGGCAGCAACCACCATTGTTCTGTAATGAAGCTTTGCTCAGTGTCCTCTATTAGAAGGACCCAGCAAATGTCTGACTCCCAGCAGGAGGCTGTAGCTACTTTATTGGCAATTTATATTTGATAAAGCATTCATTTGAAGATCCTGGCTGGTGGCAATGCAGGAAAGGGAATGAAGATGAGAAAATGTAATAAAGATTGGGGCAATCTTCATTTACACCCATGTTGAATGTGCTCTGGGGTCAGGACTTGGGAATCAAGATGATTTACATGCTTCCCATATTCAGTCAATCTTTATACAAAAGGCATGAATGTAAGAAAAAATTGTCCTGCTATTATCAGAATCACATTATTTCATCACCAACACACACCCCTAATTGCATTAGGAATGGAATCATTTGTTTCTCCAGCTCTCTGCTTAGAATTTTCTTTTCTTCCAGTTGTGCTCAGATCTTTTTCCAAGATGGCATTGACCAAAGGAGAAATGACTGATTGCTGAAGCGGCTCTGCCAGTACAGCAGCATTCAGTCCCTTTTGCAGCCCAAGATGCTATCAATCAGAGAAGTAACCATCTCCATCTGGAACAGGGTAGCATGGAAACCCACTTTCACACTATTTGTGATTCATCTTGTCGCAACAAGTGGTGCCAGGGACCAAACCACGCTTGAATCTTTCTAGCAGCTGGGCACATTCTACTTTCCCAGCTTGCTGAGTTGACATATTAGCTCTACCGACTTACAGAGTGGCAATTCTTTTAATTATCACACCTTCACCCCTCTTCTTCCTCCTTTTTCTCCTCTATCCTGCCATCTTTTCGCATACAGTTTGGCACCATGGGAATATCTGCAGAAGGCAATCAGCATTTTTTTTTAATTGACTGTTTTCCAAAAGTGTGAATCTTGTTTATTTTCCCTTGGTAAAGTACATATGGGAACAATTGCTGGATGGCAAAAAACAAAAAGAATGTCACAATGCTTCTCCCTGTTTCTAATGGCATCAGGACAGTCTGTTGGATTTCACAGATTGCCGTTCTTTAAAGCAAAAGGTATTTTGTACTTATCGTGTTTCGTCAAGACACGCCTCTTTGTTTTTATATGAAATTGAGGAGTTCCTCTGCTTATTGATATATTAAAACATAACTGAATGCATTTTAAGTGATGGATTTTAACGAAGTTCAAGCCATGTTCCTATATCTGGATGG